ATCCTGTGCAAACAGACTTGTTTCACTTCCGGGTAATCAATTGACGCCAAAATGTATTAAATACATAATAAAAAAGGTTAATTATTGCATTTTCTATTACCCAAATCCGGTTATTATAATATATATCTTATAAGCAATGAAAAAAACCAAAATGGTCATTTTTGTATATTGCTGTGTGCCTGAACATGCAAAATAGCCTTTTTTCGATTTTCCATTTCCCTTCAAAAATAGAAAATGTATTGAACGCAAAAGTACACGGACCAGTTTATAACAGTAGTAATAAAGTTTTAATTTCAGTTAAGGAAAGACTCAAGACCAAGATTGCTTTATTCATATTTTTGTTATGACTATTACTTACTGTTACTACTATTATTCATGTTGGCAGAATATATTGTAGCTGCATGATTAGACGACAGTGTCAAACTGTAGAATGAGTCTGGTGTGTGTGTGAATGGTCGGTGGTGGTCGGAGGGGCCTATGGCAGATACTGGTTGCCTCGCTTCTGTCAGTGTGCCCCAGGGCAGCTTTGAGTGTCCAAAAAAGCACTGTATAATAAAACCAATGCATTATTATTATTATTATTATTATTGTTATTACTGCTACTGGCCACTATCTACAGATCATGAAATCAACACAAACCAAATCTGTTTGGACGTTGAATTCATGAACTCACCTGCTCGTCGATCACCAGCAAAGACCCAGGCTGCAAAGGGAAACGCTTGATTTTTGTTTTGTGTTTGTCAATACAAACTTCTCGCTTTTCAGCAAGTAGGTCCTGGGTTCGAATCCCGGTCGGAACAGGGCCTTACTGAGTGGAGTTTGCACGTTCTCCCTGTGTCTGTGCATTTTTCCTCCGGGTGCTCCGGTTTCCCCTACCACTAAAAACATGTACTGTACAATAGTTCTGGCATGTGCCTCCTGTACTGGCCCCGCTCCCATCTCTGTTTGGAGTGAGAGACAAATACTCACAATTGTAAACCGTTTTGTGACTCTGGTCTGTGAAAGGCGGTATATAGATAAATATTACTGACTTACTTACTTAAACGTATTTTTCCCAGAGAGAGTAACAACTCAGCGTATTTACATTAAAGGTTCTGACTTTTAACTTTTATCCATATGTAGTTTATGTAATTGCGAAATTTATAAAATTGTATCTTATTTTTGACGGCTCCATTTGTGTTGTAGAAAAAATACATTGACATTTTTGGTCGATCGTAACAACTTTCTAGGTCCGTCAAAGCACTTTGTTCAAGGTGCTGGTTCGGGAGACGAGTGCTAGTTACCATAGCAACACAATGTATATTTTCTCCAGTTAGCATTTGGTCTTTAGCATACGCTTTTCAACACCCCGTTTCTTCTGTATTTAAGAAACAAATCACTAGTTTTAGCACTTTTTCAATAAAAACTGGAGGAAAACGCAACATTTTGGGGGAATTTCTCAGAATTTGATTGGTTTGAATGGGAGCAGTCACTGTGGCGTTGGGAGTTTAAGTTTGTCGAGATTTCTGAAGACATGAACACTAATAATAGATTATGTTTTCTCTTAAAGTTAAGGGAGTGTTTGGTACATTCTGTAACACCCAAAGAATGCGGAGCTCAAATTCCACATTCATTTCAGTCCGTGGTGAAGGTGCGGCACTCAACACTCTGCAACAATAAAAATAAAATGCCCTATGGCGCTAATTAAAATGGCCAATTAAGAGTTTAAAATAAGACTAGAAGGTCTTAAGGCCTGGTCAAAAAAAAGGGGGAAGGCCCTCCGCTCTCTGCTGGGGCTGTGGGCCTGGCGCGCTGCTCCCCTCTGCTGGGGCTCGGGCTGGGGCTGGCGCGCTGCTCCGCTCTGCTGGGCCGGGTCTGCTGCTCCGCTAGTAGCTACAAGCTACTAGCTTGTAGCTGAATAACTCATGGGCTCGGGTGATTCTCGCGGTACTGCAGACTGAATCAGACTAAATTCACGTAGGCTACCCAGAAATTTTCCCCATAGAACTCAATGCATATTAAAAGAGCTCAACCTCAGCTGACAGAGAACCTACAGCTTTAATAAAGATAGGATTTTGTGAGGATTTTAGTGTCCCTTGTCATCCTGAACTTTTTTTCTTCTTAAATCCTTCGGTTTTGTTTAAATCCACACTTTAGTGCCACAAACTCCGCTCGTCTCGCTCTCGCTCTAACTCCCGCTCTGATGAACTGCTCTGATTGGTCAGAGCGCGGCCGAGCCCCTCTGTGCACGTGCGTGAGACCCGGTGTGAGACCCACACACGCGTGTTTGACGCAACGCATTATGGGAGATCATCCACTGCACAGAACCGGGAGGACCAGACGATGCCCAAATACAGGCGAGTTTCCCATAGATCTTTGCGAGTTTCAGGCGACTTCCAACTAATCTTTCAGCCCCCATGTCGTTGTCACTCCCGGATTCGTCCCGGAAACCGGATTCGTCCGGAAGTTCAGTTTGATCCAATGAGCATACGCAGCAGTAGATTACGTCACGGAATCTGGACGGAAGCGGAAGAAGTAAATATAACAAACTACCTATTCATGCCTAAACTTAACCAGCCATTCCCATAAAATAACCCCAACCCAGCCTTAACCCTAAACTTAACCATCTTAATCAGACGCCTAAACTTAACCATGGATCTATTATAATAACCAGTCACCACTTAAGGACATATTAAACTTTTTGACATGCGCAAACTGAACTTCCGGACGAATCCGGTTTCCGGGATGAATACGGGAGTGACAGTCGTCACAAAGCGCCACTGAGCACGACCATTCATTTGAATAGGGCGCCATCTTGGATCGCCGGGGCTTGGGTGCGCCACACCAGTGTAGTTCCTGGTGAGTGAGCAATCAGGCGCCGGTCTCACACGCACGCACACACACACAAACTGAGGCTGCTTAATCACGTCCCTGCATACTCATACTCATACATTGACATTTTTGGTCGATGGTAACAACTTTCTAGGTCCGTCAAAGCACTTTGTTCAAGGTGCTGGTTCGGGAGACGAGTGCTAGTTACCATAGCAACACAATGTATACTTTCTCCAGTTAGCATTTGGTCTTTAGCATTAGCCTTTCAACACCCCGTTTCTGCTGTATTTAAGAAACAAATCACTAGTTTTAGCACTTTTTCAAAAAAAACTGGAGGAAAACGCAACATTTTGGGGGAATTTCTCAGAATTGGATTGGTTTGAATGGGAGCAGTCACTGTGGCGTTGGGAGTTTAAGTTTGTCGAGATTTCTGAAGACATGAACACTAATAATAGATTATGTTTGCTCTTAAAGTTAAGGGAGTGTTTGGTACATTCTGTAACACCCAAAGAATGCAGAGCTCAAATTCCACATTCATTTCAGTCCGTGGTGAAGGTGCGTCACTCAACACTCTGCAGACAATTAACAACCATGATTGTGCTGTCGTTGTTTTTGTAGAGATGGATTCTTTGATATAATAAAATCTTCCTGTGAGTTACTGTGTCTCAGCAGAATCAGATTTATTTGTATTTCCATCACGAGAAAGAGGAAGACACAAACTCGGACATTCATTTGGCTCTTGGTGCAAACAAGTTATGAAAGTAAAAGGCATGCTTATGTCAGGTGTGGAGCAACCAGTAACTGTTTAAAAATGAATGTGCACAGGCTTTGACTTCAGATACTTTTATTAATAAAAATAATTATTAAATGCCCTATGGCGCTAATTAAAATGGCCAATTAAGAGTTTAAAATAAGACTAGAAGGTCTTAAGGCCTGGTCAAAAAAAAGGGGGAAGGCCCTCCGCTCTCTGCTGGGGCCGCTCTCTGCTGGGGCTGCTCTCTGCTGGGGCTCGGGCTGGGCCTGGCGCTCTGCTGGGGCTCGCCACACCAGTTGCTGAGAGAGTGAGCAATCAGGCGCCGGTCTCATGCACACGCACACACACACAAACTGAGGCGGCTTGATCATGTCCCTGCATACTGAGCTTTACGGGGCGTTGTATGTGGGCTCTGCAGGTGCCTTGCGTGCCGGTCCTTATTTCACCTTGCCCTCTGTCCTCGTCCCCCGTAACGCTCCCGATTTCCTTCCTCTCTCCCAGTCCCTCTGCCCGGGTTTTAAAAAGGGGGAAGTCCTCCAGTCCGACCAACCAATCATGAGGGGGAGGGCTATCAATCAGGACTGTCCCAGGCTCAATCCAAAGTCAGTATAAACCACTAAAAACAAGGTCACACTAAAAACACTACACACAAATAAAACTGGCTTTAGATTTGGAGTCCCAGACTAAAATCTATGTTTGACACTTACAAAAACATAACAAATCTAAAATCACCTGCAGAAACCGATTTGAAGAGATCATGATTGAACCCAGTGACTCCGGCTCTGTGATGTTTTTATGTCTACAACCAAGTTTTGGATTTTATCGAAAGTCCACAACAGACAAACTGAAGTGAAAGCAAAATGATACATAATTTTGTTGTTTAAAGATATAAAAAACACACACACACAAATGCATCCATACAGCCATTCTCTTCATGGGGACCTTAAATCTTTGTACATTGCAAAGAAGAATAAAATATGAGGAAATAAATGCTTGAATTGAGTTGTTTTAGCTTAATCTGAGCACATTCTGACCTAAAACAAGATTCTCCAATGGAACAAAGCCAAAACTGTTGCTTTATTTTCTCATTCCAAGAGAGATATTTATTGAATCTTTTCGAAATAAGATAACTTTGCTTTGTCCCATTGGAAAATCTTGTTTAAAGGTGGTCACAATGCTCAAATTAAGAAACATTTTTGCCAAATTCAAGCAATTTTGGACTTATTTATCTTCCTTTTTTGCAGTGCAGGACCTTCTTGTTGTGAGGTAGCTCTCTCCGCCTGATGTCATTTGCAGGTTGTTGTGAGACATTTCCATACAGAGGTCAAAGACTATAGTTGTGTTGACTTTGTGTTTGCTCAAATCCTGAACTTTGTAAATGATTGATGAGCAGAGCGAACCTGGCGAGTGTCTCTGGGCCCGTGTGGAGACGAAGATGCCGCTGCGATGGTGGGACTGCCTGATGTGCCTGATGCCCTCTCTGCTGCTCTGGGCCCTGGTGGCTCTGGTCGTGGTGAGTCGGCCTGTGCTCGGTGCTTGGACGGGACGGGCCCTCACGGCGGTGGGGTGGACCCTGTGGAGAGGCCTCTGTGTCCTGCTGCACTTACCCCTGCAGAAGACCCCCCCACAGACCTCCTCCTCTGGGACTGAGCTTCTGTTTAAACCTAGTTCTCTGGCCCAGCACCTGCTGCGTCACTGCGGGGCTCTGTCCAGGACCAGACTGGCCCCGTGGCCCCGAGGAGACCCCCACCTCCAGACCGTCCAGAGTCTGTGTGGACTGTCTACCCCTGCACTGCAAAAAAGGATAACATATGAGGTAATAAATGCTGAAAGTTTTTTTATCTTAAATTGAGTAAATGCTGACCGCCAATTGGTCAAAGCTATTCAGGCACGGTGGCGCTGCGGTAAGAGCTTGTGTCTCACAGCGAGAAGGTCCTAGGTTCGATTCCTTTCCCCAGGCTTTTCTCTGTGGAGTTTGCATGTTCTCCCCGTGTCTGTGTAGGTTTCCTCCAGGTGCTCCGGTTTCCCCTACCACTGAAAACAAATACTATAGGTCTGAATGTAATGAGTGAGTGAATGGATGGGGTTGGTTGGGGCTTTGGTCCAGTGTGTGTTTGGCGACGCGTTTCGGTCTCATCCTGTGTAAAAAATCAAAATACATCTGATCTCTGGACATTGTAAAGCAGACATTGATCTGTAAAATGCGCTATATCAGGGTGCTTACGCACTTGATATACACATGACTTTTGTGTGAAAGTCATGTGGAAAAAAAATATATATATATATGGTAGAATTTCACAGTATAATCAAAGGTATTTTGAATGATGCATTTGTTCATTGAATACTTATAAAAATTTACATTTCTATTAAACACAGTTGTGAACCAATGAAGCAGGCAGTAGGCACACAAGTTTACAAGTACATGAATTTAAGGTCTTGGGGAAAAAAATATCACTTTTAAAAAAGTCTGGAAAAAGTCTTTCAGATTCAGATTCATTTATTTGCCATTTGCAGTAAAACCACATTGGAAAAACTGTGCAAGACTACCCCGGTGTGCACCAACACACACCAGAGCTCTTGCCACGGCGCCATCTTTACGGCGCCATGCCGTATTTTGGAAATTTTAATTTGGAAAAAGAGCAAGCACCCTGTGTATAAATAAAGATTACTTACTTATACGTCTTATTTCATTTCTCATTCCAAGAGAGGTATGTTTTAAGACAGATAATTTGTTCCAATTTTGAGCAATTTTTTACTTATTTTTCCTCACTTTTTGCAGTGTGGACTTCAGTTTTCTAGGGACCACCTGTTACTGAGAGACGGGGCCATCGTGGCGCTGGACTGGGTTGTGGGGGAGTGTGAGGGGGGGAGGAGGAGCAGTCCCCCGGTGCTGCTGCTGGTGCCTGAGCACTGGGGCAGCCTCACTCCTCACCTCTGCTCCTTGTGCCACTCGGCCTCTGCTCTGGGCTTCTATGTGGTGCTGTTTCACCACAGAGGGACCGCGGGCTGCCCCCTCACCACCACCAGGCTCACAGAGTTTGGAGACCCGGCGGATCTGGACCAGGTCAGCTGATGCTCAGGGAATGTTTAAGGGTTAGAAGGTTCTTCCAGTAAGACGTACATAGTTGACTCCTATTTCACTGCAAATGACGAATAAATTAACAGATTCATATTTAAGTACATGTCGAGTCATGTCAGGTAATAAACTGGGCGGCATGATGGCACAGTGGTTAGCGCTTGTATTTGCATGTTCTCCCCATGGCTGAGTAGGTTTCCTCTGGGTGCTCCGGTTTCCCCTGGGTGCTCCGGTTTCCCCTACCACTAAAACATGTGGATAAACATACAGGCTGAAAACTGATAAACCAGACTGTTTTGAGCTTGTTTCATTGATAATAAATAATACTGATAATAGTATTTTTATACAAAGAGTACATACGAGACAAAAACAGACACAAAAAATACAGAGAAAAAACAAGCAATATACATTTGTTTTTATTTATATGTATTTATTTTTCTCCATTAATTCATCTTTGATACAGAAACATAAAGAGTCCTATTTATGATTTTATGATATAGTATTTTGTGATATTATTCCAGAATCACAACATTCTTATAAAGTTATGAGCCTCTTCCAGTTGAGTGTAGTGTGACGTCATCCTCAGGCGGTGGCGTACATCCACTCACGTCACCCGTCCTCGGTGCTGCTGGCCGTCAGTGAAGGCTCTGGATCCGGGACTCTGCTCTCGTATCTGGGGGAGAAAGGCTCCGGATCTCGCATCACTGCTGCAGCCGCCATCTCTCCTGTGCTCCTGGGGCAGCTGTGGTTTGAGACGGCTATGCCCCCTCTGTACCACTGGGGGGTGCTGTTCCATCGCAAGCAGCAGCTCCGCAGGTGATTTAATGGTGATGAAATCTGTGGTTTCATTTTTATTTTCTGATGTTTATCCTTGAGGTTGTATGAGCTGTAGAGACATATTACGTGTCTGAAGAAGCAGTTACACGCAAGACACGCCAACATTCTCCAACATGTGTTCCTCAACGGTGAAAGGCATAAGTTAGATTTATGTGTATTTAGTTCCAGGTCAGCTGCATGTACATATTACAGTACACATTTGACAATATTTTAAATCAGATGGATAGAAACCATCCATCCATTTTCTTCCACTTTATCCATTGCCGGATCACGGGGGCCGCCCAGACCTCCCCATCTACAAACTCTCCCTCCCACCAGCTCATTTAGGGGAATCCAGAGGCGTTCTCAGGCCAACTGAGAGACATAGTTCCTCCAACATGTCCTGCGTCTTCCCCTGGTCTCCTCATGGTGGGACCCGGAAGAGGGAGGGGTCCCAAGCCACCTCAACTGGCTCCTCTCCAAGTGGAGAAGCAGTGGCTCTACTCCGAGCTCCTCCCGTGTTAGGTACCCCGTCTGCAAGGATTCTTGTCGCAGCCCAAAAATCAGAAGAATTTTTCTGTAGTTGTGGGTTAATGGTGTAGTGTGGCTCCAATGAATTATATTTTTCTTGTCTTTAAAGAAGATATGACGGAAAAACGACCATTAATTAACCATGTTACAACGTTGTTTCTCATCAAAAACTGACATGGAGTTATTTTTAGATGCATACAAGCTAATGTCATGAACGTCTGGCATAAACATTTAACTCCGCCTCTTCTGTCTAAAAGTTCCCTTCTCAGTCCTGTAATGGTATAATGTCATTGTGGAGTATTTTTATGCCTTTTAAAAGTAATGCCCACTCATTATTCTGAAAAGATGTCTTTACAATCCCAAGTTAACTGCTCCCTCTAGTGGCAGCAAAGGGAGTTACAGACAACGTATTTTTTACCCTTCAGACTTCATTCACAATATGTTTTCTCCTGAAAACATTATTTCACATTCTAAAACATAAAATAACAATATAAATGGTCTGCACTGTCATTTTTGCATGGCCTAAATAATGTGTCATATTTCTTCTTCTGTGAAGGTATGCAAGTTCTTTCAGCCGAGTCCTGGACGTGGCTCATGTCCTCAGATCTTCGTCCCTGAAAGAGTTTGAGGAGAGATTGTTCTGTCAGCACCAATCCGAGGCTCCATGGGGGCTCACGGCATCTGCGTCCTGGGGTCTACAGGAGCGTGCTCGCCCCGCTCCAGACTGGGACGCTTACTGGGAGCGGAACGAGCCTCTGAGGGACGCGGACGAGGTGGAAGTCCCCGTGCTCTGCCTCCTCAGCCGGGACGACCCACTACTGCCCCCTGCCGGTGCTCTACCCCTCAACCTCTTCCAGAGCAACCCCTTCTTCATCATGGTCCTCACCGACACTGGAGGTCACTGCGGCTTCTCCACGGCAAACACAAGAGATGGACGGACTGAAAACTGGAGCCACACGGCGGTACTCGAGTATTTTAGAGCAGCTGTGGACTTCCTGAAGGGAGGAGGAGAGGGGAGATCTGTAGGCTTTACCATCAGCCCCATGGGAGAACAGAGACAGCGGACAAACACGTTCAGAAGGAGGAGAGCTGCAGGGATGAGACGTTCTCTGAATCAAACTGTCTGTCAGACTGTGACTGAGGACGACGAGTTCACCTGGAAGAGAGCGTACACCAGATGAGGGAAAGAAGAGCTCAGAAGTAGAGATTTGAACGCTGTGTTTAAACGTTTTAGTAAGAGGGCCACTTTAGTTTACCAGACTTGTCCATTGACGGTATTGGAAAAACTGTTTTGACTGGATTCAGGCTGTTCTGAGGTTTAAATTAGGTGCGACAGGTCCAGAATGAATCAGATTTGACAGAGCTGAAGTTGGCTGAATGTAAAACAATTATATTTAACTACATGAGAGTCATATATGTGTTTTTGTACCATGATCAAGTGTATGTTGGCACAGTCAAACAATGTCAATAACACATGTCTGTACTGGTGGAGATAAAGTTGGATGGATGACACAGAATGTATGTTTAAGGTTGCAATGGCTTGGTGTGTTTGGGCCACAGAAAACAACTACGGGCCGCAATTGACCCTCGGGCCTAAGTTTGGACATTTTTTGACGTTTGTATCACATATTATCTTGTTCAAAGTGGGACAGCACTATATTTTTCATGTTTGTCCCTACACAAAGTCCTGTAAAAGTCTTGTTTTTTGGCTGAATGTATCGCTTGGCGCTGAACATATTGCACCGTGGCAAGAGCTCTGGTGTGTGCCGTCTTCTGTCTGGTGCACACTGGGTAGTCTTGCAGTTTTTCCAATGTAGTTTTACCGCACATGGCAAATAAATTCTTGAATCTTCTTGAATTTGAGTTGCCTTGTGTATCAATTGTGCCATACAAATAAACTTACCTTACTTAGAGAGTAGAGACTAAAGATCAAAGATGAAAATGTTCAAGTAGTGCTGAAAGATCAGTCACGAAGCAAATAATGAAGGTTGTCAAGAGAAAAAAACCATCTGATACTTATTAAACTGGTATTGAAAAATGTTGATTTGAGAAAGATTTGATACAATTCCAAACAAGTTTCCGTCCGGGCGCGCTACTTAACTTCAAACCACAAAAAAACAATAATCCACCAAATGTCTTTGCCCTTTGGTTCTTTCACTATGCAGCTTTTGGCCTCAAGCACATGTTTAGATCGGCTTTTCCAGAGTAAAAAAGACAGACCACCCTCACTTAGCCAATCAGCTCTCAGCCCAATGCATCAATTACTCACAAGGTTCTTTCTTTCACATATACATTATTATAATTATTATTATTGTTATTATATTATATTATATATATTATATTGTGCTCTGATTTAAAAACAAGTGTGTAAGACTTTCTGTTGGGACAAACATGAAAAGTAAAGTTGGGTACCTCAGTTTGAACAAGATTAAATAGATCTAGTTCTTACATAAACAAAACCATCCTATGTAAGAACCAGTGTTATCGTTATAGTGCACCAACATGTGCTCGTTTTAGTCCAATTTCATTTTAGTAAAATTATAACATGAAGGAAAATGAAACCATCACTGGAGATGAGATAATGTTATACCTGCAGCGTGTCCCTGCATTAGAACACATTTCTGTCTTGTTAGAATTCCGCTGACTAGCACAACTCTCAAATGTAATCACAATGTTTGTAAATACAGTACAGACCAAAAGTTTGGACACACTTTCTCATTCAATGAGTTTCCTTTCTCTTCTTGCCTATTGAATGTAGATCCACACCAGGCTGTGTAAGGGCTGTTTGACCAATAAGGAGAGTGGTGGTGCTGGGCCAGATGACCCGGCCTCCACAGTCACCGGACCTGAACCCAGTCCAGATGGTTTTGGGGTGAGCTGGACCACAGAGTGAAGGCGCCAACAAGTGCTAAGCATCTCTGGGAACTCCTTCAAGACTGTTGAAAACCATTTCAGGTCACTACCTCTAAGAAGCTCATCGAGAGAATGCCAAGAGTGTGTGAAGCAGTGATCAGAGCAAAAGGTGCTACTTTGAAGAACCTAGATTAGAATATACAGAATATATGCCTTGCGAAAGTATTCGGCCCCCTTGAACCTTTCAACATGTCGCCACATTTCAGGCTTCAAACATAAAGATATAAAAATTAAATTTGTTGTCAAGAATCAACAACAAGTGGGACACAATCGTGAAGTGGAACAAAATTTATTGGATAATTTAAACTTTTTTAACAAATAAAAAAAGTGGGGCGTGCAATATTGTTCGGCCCCTTTGCGCTAATACTTTGTAGCGCCACCTTTTGCTGCAATTACAGCTGCAAGTCGCTTGGGGTATGTCTCTATCAGTTTTGCACATCGAGAGACTGGAATTCTTGCCCATTCTTCCTTGCAAAACAGCTCGAGCTCAGTGAGGTTGGATGGAGAGCGTTTGTGAACAGCAGTCTTCAGCTCTTTCCACAGATTCTCGATTGGATTCAGGTCTGGACTTTGACTTGGCCATTCTAACACCTGGATACGTCTATTTGTGAACCATTCCATTGTAGATTTGGCTTTATGTTTTGGATCATTGTCCTGTTGGAAGATAAATCTCCGTCCCAGTCTCAGGTCTTTTGCAGACTCCAACAGGTTTTCTTACAGAATGGTCTTGTATTTGGCTCCATCCATCTTCCCATAATTTTAGTCATCTTCCCTGTCCCTGCTGAAGAAAAGCAGGCCCCAACCATGATGCTGCCACCACCATGTTTGACAGTGGGGATGGTGTGTTCAGGGGGATGAGCTGTGTTGCTTTTACGCCAAACATATCGTTTTGCATTGTGGCCAAAAAGTTCGATTTTGGTTTCATCTGACCAGAGCACCTTCTTCCACATGTTTGGTGTGTCTCCCAGGTGGCTTGTGGCAAACTTTAAACGAGACTTTTTATGGATATCTTTGAGAAATGGCTTTCTTCTTGCCACTCTTCCATAAAGGCCAGATTTGTGCAGTGCACGACTGATTGTTGTCCTATGGACAGACTCTCCCACCTCAGCTGTAGTTATCTGCAGTTCATCCAGAGTGATCATGGGCCTCTTGGCTGCATCTCTGATCAGTCTTCTCCTTGTTTGAGATGAAAGTTTGGAGGGACGGCCGGGTCTTGGTAGATTTGCAGTGGTCTGATACTCCTTCCATTTCAATATAATTGCTTGCACGGTGCTCCTTGAGATGTTTAAAGCTTGGGAAATCTTTTTGTATCCAAATCCAGCTTTAAACTTCTCCACAACAGTATCTCGGACCTGCCTGGTGTGTTCCTTTGTCTTCATGGTTCTCTCTGCGCTTTAAACAGAACCCTGAGACTATCAAAGAGCAGGTGCATTTATACGGAGACTTGATTACACACAGGTACATTCTATTTATCATCATCAGTCATTTAGGACAACATTGGATCATTCAAAGATCCTCACTGAACTTCTGGACTGAGTTTGCTGCACTGAAAGTAAAGGGGCCAAATAATATTGCACACCCCACTTTTCAGTTTTTTATTTGTTAAAAAAGTTTAAATTATCCAATAAATTTCGTTCCACTTCACAATTGTGTCCCACTTGTTGATTCATGACAAAAAATTATAATGTTATATCTTTGTTATACATAAAGATATGTATATCTTGATAGATATACATATACATATTTTCAGTAATTTCATACTTTAGTACGTACACAATTCCACATGAGTTAATTCATAGTTTTGAGGCCTTCAGTGTGAATCTACAATTTTCCTAATCATAAAAATAAAAAACTCTTTGAATGAGAAGATGTGTCCAAACATTTGGTCTGTACTGCCCTGTACTGGGCGACAGTAGCTCAGTTGGTAGAGCACTGGCCCTTGGTCCTGAAAGTCGTGGGTTCGAGCCCACCATAAGACCTACTTCACGACTCCCACTGATGACTGCTGTCGTTGTGTCCTTGGGCAAGACACTTAACCCCACTTAGCCTGAAGCTCCCACTGAAAGATCTCAGCTCCTGTGGACTCACCACCTGCAGGAGGATCAGTGAGGGGCTGGTGCTATGTGTACTGGGTGCAGCTCTGACTGCCACCCCCTGACCCAGAAATAGATTAAGGGGAAGAAAATGGATGGATGTATGTGGTTTGTTCTTAAATCTTAACCAAGTTCTGAAAACGTTTGTAAACTTCGTGTTGACAAAACCCACACGGACAACAACATATTAAAATTACTTTATTACAGATGATTCTTTATCGAGTAGCCCTCTTCCAACAAAAAATAGTAGTTACAAACAAAATATTACATTTACCCTCTAAACTTTCTGTAATTCTTTTATACATCTTAAATCACTTAAGTCATCTGTAGGAATAGTTTCTTCTTCTATGTCACATTCATCTTTTTGCACAATCTATACAGTTTAATACACTTTTAATACAGATCTCTGGACCGAGGAGGAAACAGCAAGATCCACCGAGTGACGGAGAATAAGGGAATACTGTCTGTACACATAGACCCGCCGCCTCGCGGACCCTCAGCCAATGGCAGCGTCCTTCAGCGGTGGTCATCACAGTTAGACTTGTGTCTGGTCAATCACTTGTGCAATGAGTGCGACTGATCCAGTTCAGAGCGACCAAAGTCTGGGGCCAGACTCAGCCCTGACTGCAAATCAAAGAGCTCCGGGAGTAAACAAAAGAGAAGGCCTCTCAGCAGTGACGCATGGGAATAACACGACTTTCATAGGACGATCTTTGAATAGCGATTTTAGACCACTTTCAATAGAAAGTTTTGACTGAAAGGCTATGACGAGGGATGCACCGATTCATCTATTTTGTTTTGATACAGATCTGAATAAAAACTAACTCTAAATAAGCACAGGTACTGGCCTCCTGCTGGTGACTCTGAGGAGCACAGGGACTGGCCTCCTGCTGGTGACTCTGAGGAGCACAGGGACTGGCCTCCTGCTGGTTCCAGAGCCAGGACTAAACATGGAGGCAGCGTAGCAGATTTATGCAGTTTGAATCTGGAACAATCTTCCTGAAAATGTGAGATAGACTTCTTCAACAATGTTCAAATCCAGGTTCAAAACAGTTTATCTGTGCTACAACTGAAGGATTTTATCTTTACTATTTTTAATGTTCTGATATTTATGATTTGAATGCCTTGTGTGAGTATTTCTATCTTGTTTTGTTCAGCTGTTTGAGTTGCCCTGTCTATGAACTGTACTATACAAATAAACTTTCCTTTCCTGATCTTTGGGAGTGGGAGCTAAAAACGCAACTCCAGAAAAGTTGAAAGATGAGGCAACATAGCTAAAAGTTCAAGAAAAAGAATTTTGCTAGTTACGTCTTGTCAAATAGTGATTCAGCAGTGATTCATCTCCCAGCCCGAGTTCCTGTGAGCCAGAGAATATCTTACTAAACCATTTCACAATATCGGCTGCTACGACCGATACTCAATAAACATCGACATTGGCGTTTGAATCGGTGCATCCCCGGATATGACTGACCAATTCCGTAAACAAATGTTAAATATATACACACAGGGCTATAATGCGAAACCATGTAAAAGCACACACACATAGCGGTGTATAGGAGCGAGATGCCTGCGTTGACCCAAAAACAAACATGAAAATGATCGTGTATAAAACGCAGCCGCTGCTAAATCGTGGGCAAGAACCTCAACCTCCAAATGATGTGCAAAAAACCCTCCTCGCTCAACAAAAGTTATCAAAACGTTGCCATTTCTTCAAGGCAAATCTAACTCGGGGTCGTGTCGCAGAATTGACAAGAAAATCTGTTCTGAACTCACAGTCGTAAGTTAAAAGTAAAGCCCCCAGCGTCTTTCTTTCAACGGTTAAAACCACACTCTTCCCACGTCACACACATAGATTTCTAGTTTCTTATGTTCAGCTTTAAAATATACAATATCGACAGAATTTACAAGTACATTCCACCTCTAATTATGATACAATGCAAAACGTCTGCATTTCTGACTTCCACCTTTATCGATAACTCTATAAATCTCTTATAGATCCATTTATATTTACATAGTCTTGGGGAGAGTCTGTGGAGGGCGTGGGTGGGGGGTGGGGGTGGGGGGGGGGGGGGGGGGTTAGGCCAGGGGGCGACAGAGAGCGGGACGTCAGAGCAGGGGGAAGGGAACTGGGGCTTGGCGTTGGGGATACAGCTCCACCATCTCCGTTTCCAGGTCCCACTGAGCCACTGGGACGTCCTGCCACAGAATACGTATGTCCATCTGGTCTCCTAGCCGGGTTTTAAAGAGACTACAATGCTATACACCACAGACAATTATCAAAATGAGAAAATAATTGCTTGAATTGAGTGACTTTTTTTTGAGTACATTCTGACTGTGTTCAAACAATACTTACCAACGGGACAAAGCCATTAAGTCTGATGGCTTTTAAAACTGTTGCTCCAATTTCTCATTCCAAGGGAGACATTTTTTGTAATTTTTTAAAACAAGATCAGTCAGAATATACTCACATTTTGCCGAATTTGAGCAATTATGGACTGATTTTTCATCACTTTTTGCAGTGTACTGGTCTTTTCTCTGCAGAGTGGAAACCCAAAAGCCTTAAGCCTAATTATGAATATGAACCTGTCCTGTATATGTCTGTTATTTCTCAAAACTCTGGCACAATCTCTTCAAAGCACAGCAGTGAATTGGCAAAGAAAGCTAAGAATATGGCATGATCACATCTATGACTCGCACAGCTCGAGAAGCCTCTAATAACAAACACTACGATAAAGAGCAGCTTTGGAGTTTGGCTTCTACTCCACTCTGTTCCTCGTCGACGCTAAACCTCTTTTTCATGAAACAACGGCAACTTTTTAATTGTTTGATAAAAACAATCATTGAAACACCACCGCTTTACAATATTGTCTATATATTATATTTATATCACTGCACTCCAAATACAGAATATAGTATTACGGGCAGAAGGCTGCGAGTGTGTACTGTACACGTGGCCACTCTACACTGGGTCATGGCAACAGACGCTACACAAGCTACATGGCAACGAAAAACAGAAGCAGCAGTTTGGGCTTTGATAAATCTCTGGCACAAACACGAACATTCTCAAGGCTTTTAGGTTTCCACAAACTCGATCTGACGGCGTTTACCACCAGTAATAATTCAATCAATTGAATTGTGAGCTGAATGTGAATAGAAGTTTTTGTTGTATCATTAATTGTCCTGAAAGTGTTGGGACAAAGACTGATGGGGCAGGGTCTAAGTGTAGGACAGGTGGGACCCGTTGGAGATCTGGGAGGTGATGCTGGCGCTCCTGCTCATGGCCTGTTCGCTCCTTCCCCCTGATGCCGTCCTCCTCGCTGACTGGGGGCTGTTCCTCACCCCGGCCCCCGCCCTCTGCCCTCCTGCAGGGGGGTGCAGGCTCCAGGGTGGAGGCCCCCCTGAAAGGATGGGGTGTCCCCAGGGCTGCTGAGAGCTGGAGCTCCCCTGGTGGCCCCCTCCTCCTGCGGGCCAGTGGGAGCCCTGAGGCCCTTGGTTTGTGAGGATCATGTTACTGAAGCCCAGACGCATGGACTCAGAGTCGAAGGCCTCAATCTCTCGGGCCTGACGCTCCAGCAGAGAGCGGATCCTCTCCAGGCGCTCGTTCTGCAGCGACAGCATCTCCTCCTCGATCTGAAACACAGACCGGACGTGAGACAGGTCAGAACCATCAGGGTATAGGCTATAATATGACGTTTGTTTACAAGTGTTAAGATCTACATCTAAGAGTTTTGGGGACCCGCCTATAAGCGAATGCAACTTCCTGAGAGTTCCCTTCTACAAAGCACTTGCAAACTTTTGAAATTAATGTGCATATGACATATGAAGTTTTGCAAACAAAGATAATTGAATTGAATCGGTAACAGGAGACCGGTCAGAACCATCAGGGAAACGTCTCCACAGCTCGATCACCAGTGTAACAGGAGACTGAGGCCCCACACGACAACACATGTACTACGTGTGTGAGAATGTTATCATGGACTATAGAATGAAAGGTATGATTTTAGGGGTGCATGATTTCATATGATGTGAATGAGAGAATGTACTGTCTGTGTGATGTAAGTGTGATTCTAATGTACAGGTTTGCTGTGTGTGTGTGTGTGTGTGTGTCTGTGTGTGTGTGTGTGTGTGTGTCTGTGTGTGTCTGTCTGTGTGTGTGTCTGTACCCATTTAACCAGGGACTGCAGATGTGTAGCCATAATCTGGTGCAGAACATATCCGTCTCTGGAGTTTAACATTGCTGTGCACTGTTTAAACTAAACCAACTGATCAGAAGCATCAGGGGAACGTCTCCACTGTGCGTCCTGGGGCCTCCTCACCTTCTGCTCCAGCAGCGCCCTCCTCAGAGACACTCTCTGCTCCAGGTCGCGCCGCTCCTTGTCGTGCTGTGCGTCTGTTTGCATCTTGATCTTGCTCTGATAAGCGTTCAGCAGCTCCAACTCCTGCTGCAGCTGCATCCTGAGGACCTGACCCTCGCCCTCCTGCGCCTCGTCCAGACGCAGCTACAATAAACAAACACGTTATGTCCACATTTATAGGATCAAACTCTGGGGTGCAATTGTTTGTTGGTAATCGGATTATTATTATTTGGCTGTATTTTCAGTGAAGCTAACCCTGTTACAGAAAAAGACAGAAGACTCAAGACTGGATGGACAGGTCAGGGATTTTCCTATTAGCCTTTTTTGTCACAGGAAAATAAATGTTTGAATGGAACTTGGTCTTCTTCATTGGTCTTCTTTCCTTCTGGGTCAAATCAGAATGATACAACATGGGGCTTCGTGCTGCTGCTCTTACCGCTTGTGAGGAGAGCATCTCGTTGATGGAGTGGTCGTATTGTTCTGCGAGAATGGCCAGTTTCCTGGTCTGCTCCTCCTTTAGTCTCTTCAGAACAGCCTTGTGCTCAGACTTGGGCGTGGTCTCCAGCAGGTGGTTCCTCAGGGCCTTGTACTGCCGGGTCTGGGTCTTGCACGTCTCCTGAAACAGCTTCTTGATCTGCAGTTCCTTGGACTGGACAGAGGACAGAGGACAGAGGACAGAGGACAGAAGAGAGAAGACAGAGGACAGAGGCCAGAGGGCAGAGAGGGTTAGAGGAGTTGCTGAGGTTGCTGATGTAGTGATATTCAAGACGAAAGTACCTTCAGGCTCTTGGGCTGCTGTCGGACCTCCATGACGTGCTTTCTGCGCAGCTCTCGCTCCCGCCTCTTGTTGTACTCCAGCTGGTTGGTGAGCTCGGTCTGGTGCTGTGTGCGGATCAGCTCGGCGCGGGCTTTTTGAATCGTGTTCAAGTGTCTGAACTCCAGCTCCTGCATGGACTCGTGATGCCGCAGCAGCATGGCGTGCTCCAGGTCTTTCTGAGTCTGGCGCTTGTTCAGCTCCTTCACAAAGAAACAGAGAAATTTGAGACTCATCGTTCATGTGAGAGGTCTTGTCCTGCAATAAGGCCTGTGTCCTGAATGTTGAAGGATGCAGTTTTCCCAAGGGCAGTTTAATACACTACTAAATCTTTGCACTTCAGTTAAAGGACAACTATTTACTACATTTGAACTTTGAATCTGGCGCCAAAATATTGGCGCGGCAGTGGCTGCTTTCGTCTGCAGTGGCTCGTTACATCAGCAGCCCACGCTCTGAGGTATATAAACGGCCCAGTCTTGTTCACGCTCCCGTAGCGAGTTGGAGAAGGAATAGCAGAGTATTTTCATCGATTGTCTGGTTTGCGATTAGTTATAGCATTTAGGGAGATTATTATTAGCATAGCTGTTTGTATTATAGATAATTGTTTAGTGTTAATAGCGTTGTTGTTGAATATTGTAGTTTTAGTCATTAGTTAGTTGCTTTTATTGTCAAATTAGCTGAATTTAGCTTAAGACTGTTGTTAGTATTACTTGTGGACTATATCATGTGCAATTTCAATGTATATTGTTTATTGCACTAGTGTCCAATAAATAATACTTTATGTTTGAGCGTGTGTTAAATTACTGTCTCTTTTGTGCACATTGAGGTATCATTTTCCTTGGGGACAAGGAGGTGCAGTGGCCGCAGGTTATTGTGGCAAAATTTAGAATTATATAACTATAGGACCACCACAACATAGACTTTTTCTTGGTTTGGGTTGGTACATAAAATGTACAGTCAAAACTGAAGAAAAGAACCGCAACATAAGCGGTTACTGTGAGGGAATATGGGAAGGCTACCTGTGACAAGCAGTTCGTACTTTTTATTCCACTCTAATCTATATCATTCAGAAACAGGCCCCATTCTGTGGCGGTCTGCTGCCTCAGCTGCCTCTGAGACAGGATAGTTTTACCCTGATGATGTGTTGTTGCATTAGTAATCCAGCTCTGCTGCAGCCTCTGCTGCAGAGGCAGCTGCCGGTGGCCGCTAGCTCTACTAGTGGTGCTAGCGGCTCAAATTGATAGGGCTGGGGGCCGCCGTCTGCCTCCTCTCTCTCAAGATAAGTCCTCCACCTCCTAAGACCGCACAGAATCTGTAGAGCTGGTGCCTCTGATCACTCATTTTTGACACGGCCAATGCTGATGTCAAGCGTCACTCACATCTAGACCCGCCCAACATTAACCCCCCTGCCTGTCCCCTTTAGTCCTCCAGACTACGCCCATTTGGAGGGAGATTTGAAAAGAAAAATGTGAGTGACGTAAGCTCCGAGGAGCGGCGGCTGAGAAGTTCTTTAATGTGCAAACAAAACAAAAGTGACATTTGAGTTTTATTTTCCTCAAATGTTGTAATGCCTTTGAATAACAAGGGACATGGATCGAAAGATGTCATAAAATCGAATCAAAATACATCAATAATATTGAATTGTGGACCAAATATCGCAATACTATTGAACGGTCACATATTTGCCAATATTGCTCATTTTGCCTGATACCTGCTCAGTTGAAGTAGTTTTGTGGTGAGAGCACACGTACCTCTCTGGCCAGATCCTGCTCCACATTGTGGCGGTTGATGAGGATGTGTCTCTTGAATTTCCGACACTCGAGCTCCAGATAGTGACGCTGCTTCCTCAGTAGATTGGCCTCCTCCTCCGCCTGGGTGGGCACATTTTTAAATACAACATTAGCCGTTTAGGCCATTTCAAGCTTTATTTTCATTTTCAGACCTGGTAGTTCTGGATGTTCTCCTTCTGCTTGGACAGCCACTCCTGCTTCTCCTTCTTGGGAGTCGACTGGTTCTCACTCAACTCCTGCAGCACACATAAAAAAGTAGGTTTTGAAACGAGACACCATCTTGTGGACCCACTATTGAGATGAGTTTATAACAATAAGGATTTGATCAAAATGTTGGACTTTTTTGACACAAACTTATTGAATTGGATTTTATCTCAATCATCTTTGACATAGAAGCAATATTGATCCAATCATTAGTAAATGGGGTTTACATCATGTAGTTTAGTTCCCAAGTTTCTATTAGGACTTTGGCAATTATCTAGTCCAGTGGTTCTCAAAGTGTGGTACGCGTACCACTAGGGGTAATTTAACCAGGAATGACCCATTGAGATGAACTCATTGACTACCATTGACGTCATACGACCTCAATTGACGTAAACATGGTTTTTCAATCTTTTCCTGTCCGTCTGTGTCTCCTGTATCATACAGTCTGGGGTTTGGCTGTAGACAGTATTTTATTAAGCCAGCAGATGGCAGCAGAACTCTCTATCTTGGTCCTTGCCTGAGCAGGAGAGACAGAGGTGAAGCAGACATGGAGTAATATAGTCAGGGTCAGGCTACATTTGGAGGCAGTTTGAGCAGTAAATGTGTCTCCAGAGCTGACAGAGACCATGTGGAGGGTCAGAGCAGCAGACCATGTGGAGGGTCAGAGCAGCAGACCAGCAGTGCACCCCAAAAAAGCCACAGAAAAGTGGACTATCACTGAGTCCGCACAAGGAGCCAGCGGCAAAGTCCAGTTATGGTCACAGAGCTCGCTGGACTAAACAGAACGACACTCTGTAGATGTAACTACACAAACACACACAAACGCCTGCATAAACACACATACAGGCGCACACAAACTCACAAAGACACACAACAGTATTCTATTGCACTTATGTACATTATATTGTCTGTTCACTTGGATTTATTGTCATTTATAGTGTTTATCGTTGTAATTTTGCTTATCTCTGATTTACTCTTATTGACATACAGTAAATATAGCACCACCTAATGGATGAATATGAAGTTTTTGGATGAGTACATTTTGAAATATTTGAACAACACTTTGTGGATGTGTGTGCCATAAAACATGTAATTTTGCATCAAAAACCCTTTCTCATAACGTGTTGTTGCAGTTTTCTAACATGTAAGATCCTGGACATGTTTGAGGAGATGCTAAAGTTAAACTAAATGGTGTTACCATCACTTTTCTGCAGGTTCGTCTGTTTTCTCAGCAAGACAGGTGCTTTTTGTTCTTTTTTCTCAGCAAGACTGGTGCTTTTTGTTCTTTTTTCTCAGCAAGACTGGTGCTCTTTTCGACTGGAGATAACGAGAGAACGAAACAAGCTAAAAACAAACTTCTTTTTGCTGCTGAAAGTAGACAGTCCTGTCTTTCAGACTCTGGTTTCATATTTGTCATAGTCATAGCACACAATATTCTGTGAGTCTTGAAAATCAGTGAAGTCATCAAAAATGGCTGGCAGTCAATAAGAACCTCTTTTTCAAGGGAGTCCTGTACAAAAATTACATACAATTACAGATTATAAAACAGTTATCATAGACATTTTTATATTATTATATATTTTTTTGTTTGTTGCGGTATTGTATTCTAATCTGTAGCACTTTGAAGTTTCCTGGAAATGTAAGGTGCAATACAAATAAAAAGTACTGATATTATTCTTTCTCATAGTTTTTCCTTCGTGGGCTTCACCTCTTTCAGCTGCTCTTTGCGCATCTTGTACTCTCGTTTCTGTGACTCCAGAAAACTGCTCAGCTCCTTCTTCTGCTGAACCTGGATCTGCTGCTGGAACTTCTTCTCCTCGTTGGTAAAAGTTTTCAACTAAAAACAAGGCAAAAGAACACACCATTCATCATTTATGTAGTGAATCCATCAAGTTTAAGAATGTGACAAGACTCAATTCTGCTGCGGCCTCAAAATCCTTAAAATATTACCTGACAACACTAAAGTGACCGATCAAAAATAATACGGCTTTTTCTGTCTTTAAAAATACACACACTCAGACAAAAAGCAAAAGTTATTTTCTGTAAAAACAAAAAAATTAAGCAAAATGTTTTTTTTTTTCTAATAAAGTACAAATAATACACCAAAAGCTAAACACGGACGAATCCATCTAAATCCAATCGAAATCACTCTCTTTGTCCATAGGGTAAGTTTTTAGTTTAGATCTTTTGCAAATTGGGTAAAATGGGTAAATAAGTGGGTACATTAAATCCCGTTCAACCCTTTCGGTGACAAAGTAACTGAGCTTTTAAATCTCGTTCATTTCCTGCCTTCCAATGGTTTGATTCTCTGATCTGTTGTTGGCAAATTGACAATTTTGTAAAGTCCTCCGAGACCACTGCTGTTGTGAAAGAGGCCTGTACAAAAATGAATTGAAGTACATTTTCTATACAGCAACTGGCGTCCCAAAAAGTTACAAACAACGACCAACAAACCAACCCGGGTGATCACATTACCTCCTGGTGGATGTAAATAATACTTTTTTCACAGTGTAATTGTGCCGTTTTGTTGAGTAATATCATTGTTCTGGGTTTTAAACTTCTCTTTGCAGGTTCAGCCATGTATTATTCATAGACTGCATATAAATGGACGATGCCAACTCTCCAGCACAATGAAACCTAATAGGGAAGTGCTCATGGACAAAGTTTTCTTACAACTGGCTCCTATTGACTTGCATGTAAAAGTAAACTCCTCTAGCTCAGTGGGCATAAAAATAAAATCTGGGGTCAAAACAATTTATATTATGATATTGTCTTGTGCAGGTCACTCCTTCAATGGCTCATATCTGGATTTAAAGTAGCGGGAGAAACTCCATCAAAACAAATGCCCATATAAGGAAATTGTCTCCAGCTAAAGCAGGGCTATCTACAGATATCCTTCCAAAAAAGATTATTTCTGGCTGAATAGAAAGTCCCTGTAGTACCTCTTTCTCCAGAGAAGCCTGATGTTTTTTGAGAAGCTTCTCCATCTCGGAGCTGAAGTTGCTCCTCTGAGATTCCAGTTCTTTGTCGAGCCGCAGCCGGTGCTCGTCCATCTCTCCCTTCAGCTTGTTCTCCAGCGCCAACAGGTGTTTCTGATGCAGCCGCCGCATGCGTTTGTATCCGGACATCTGCTCGCGGAGCTCGGAGTCCTGCTCGTGCTCCTGCATCTCCCGGGTCACCTGCACAACATACATATGTTTAAAACTGTTCAAATCTATCTCAGGGTTTAATCATTTATTCTGTACTTTTTATCTGGTTTTATTCTTTTAAAGAAATAAAATACGCTAAAAGTACTCATAGGCCAAAAAGTACAGGTATATCACAAGCTGTTTTATTCCTTTACTTTTAGCTTGTTATATTCCTGTACTTTAACCTTGTTTTATGTATGTAAATGTCTGGTGTAGACTGGGGACTCCAATGTGGTTTTACTGCAAATAGCAAATAAACTGAATCTTAATCAGAGTTTATGAGAAATGATTAGCTTGTTTGTATTTATCAACAAAGTATTCGGCCCCCTTCAAGCTTTCAACATTTCGCCACATTTCAGGCTTCAAACATAAAGATATAAAAAAAAATATTTTTTGTCATGAATCAACAACAAGTGGGACACAATCGTGAAGTGGAACGAAATTTATTGGATAATTTAAACTTTTTTAACAAATAAAAAACTGAAAAGTGGGGCGTGCAATATTATTCGGCCCCTTTACTTTCAGTGCAGCTGACTCACTCAGTCCAGAAGTTCAGTGAGGATCTTTGAATGATCCAATGTTGTCCTAAATGACTGATGATGATAAATAGAATGCACCTGTGTGTAATCAAGTCTCCGTATAAATCTGCAGTTCATCCAGAGTGATCATGGGCCTCTTGGCTGCATCTCTGATCAGTCTGCTCCTTGTTTGAGATGAAAGTTTGGAGGGACGATCGGGTCTTGGTAGATTTGCAGTGGTCTGATACTCCTTCCATTTCAATATAATTGCTTGCACAGTGCTCCTTGAGATGTTTAAAGCTTGGAAAATCTTTTTGTTTCAAAATCCGGCTTTGAACTTCTCCACAACAGTATCTCGGACGTGCCTGGTGTGTTCCTTTGTCTTCATGGTTCTCTCTGCGCTTTAAACAGACCCCTGAGACTATCAAAGAGCAGGTGCATTTATACGGAGACTTGATTACACACAGGTGCATTCTATTTATCATCATCATCATTTAGGACAACATTGGATCATTCAAAGATCCTCACTGAACTTCTGGAGTGAGTTTGCTGCACTGAAAGTAAAGGGGCCAAATAATATTGCACGCCCCACTTTTCAGTTTTTTATTTGTTAAAGTTTAAATTATCCAATAAATTTAGTTCCACTTCACGATTGTGTCCCACTTGTTGTTGATTCATGACAAAAAATTAAAATTGTATATCTTTATGTTTGAAGCCTGAAATGTGGCGAAATGTTGAAAGGTTCAACATTCAAAAGGGGCCGAATACTTTCGCAAGGCACTGTATTTATCATGTAAGCATTTCGCCTGGACCTCGCCAAACGTAAACTCCGGTCCATGATCATTTCCTACATGTAACGTCTGGGTTTGGTCCCAGTGTCTGCAATTACATCGGTAATGCTTCATCAGCGAGGCGGGTGTTGTAGGTCGGTGTCGGTGACGTCAAGAGTTTGCACTGAATTTGCAGGTTGTAGTTTGGCGATGGCGGAGAATGCAATAGTAAAGGAATCTGATCTGGTTCTATCAAGAAACTGAGCCGGAGCAAGAGGAATGTTTAGCAAATGTCATTGCTGACAACAATTTTTTGTGGCGCAACCCCCTTCGGGCTCCGTTAGCGCCAAAGGAGATGGATAAAGCTAAATGCTAGCGACACTCGGGCGCATTACATACGTATTACGTGAACTCAGATCCAATCGATTAAATCTGCCCAAAGGAGATCAAAGGTGGGGTTAACGGAGCTCAATGGAGCAAATCCAGACCTTAGAACGAAGTTAAATGTGTACAATGTTGTGGTAAGACCAGGCTAGTAACCATCAGTCGATAAGTTTGTGTTTCCGTTCTCTTGAGGTCGCCGTCCTGCATTAGTGAACCATGTAGGTACCAGAGACGCGGTGCGGATGGTGGCGAAGTGCTCCCTGTTGCGGTAGTGCTTTTTGGGGGGCGGGGCGGGGGTCTCCTGGGGCTCCGTGGGCTCGCTGGTCTCTGTTGGCTCCCCAGGGACACTCTTCTCCTCCTCCTCCTCCTCCTCCTGGAAACAACACAGATCACAAGCATCAGCTCAAGTCCGGGTTTTAAAAAGCAACAAATGAGATGTAAGATGTTCAAAGTGTGATCATAGATTTAACAATGATTTTCTTGTTTTATGGTTTTGTAACTGAAGGATTTTCTCTTTTACTCTTTTTAATACACTATGTGGCTTTGAAGGATTTTGATGTCACAGTGAGGTGGCTAAAAACTGTCGTCCTTAGGCAAAAAACTTCACCCAGATTGCCTAGAATGAGTCTGGTGTGTGAATGGTTGGTGGTGGTACAGACTGGTTGCCTCGCTTTTGTCAGTGTGCCCCAGGGCAGCTGTGACTACCATAGTAGTAGTTTTTCACCACCGTGTTTTGAATTAATGAATAATGCCAAGTGAAACGTCTTAGAGTGTCTAACAAAGCACTATATAAAACAAATGCATTATTATCTTGTGTTGTTGTGTGTGAAGTGGACGCACAGGTTTTACGTGGATGACGGAGCTGTTGGACATGACGGTGTGGTCTCCCTCGATCAGGTCCAGCTCGCTGCGGTTGTCCTGGGACGTGTCGTTGAGGCTGTTGACGGAGCTGCTTTGGGAGCTGGCGCTGATGGACATACTGGGGATGGACTGGTTACTGCCCACGCTGTTCACGGTCCCTGTGCGACCTCCACCGGGCTCCAGCTCCTGACCAACAACACATAACTGCATTATGGCCTTTATAAGACAAAATATGATAACCTTTATTCGTCCCATGGTGGGGAAATTGCAATGTTGCAGCGCACATACAGGACAGCAGTAAGAGTAGTAGGATCTCTCAATCTTAACATTATATGACAAGCTGCAATGGTCCGAGTACACTTCCAATCAGAACCAGCTTTAACATTAGACAATAGTAAGCTGGGAACACATTGGGAAAATTTTGGAAACCCAGGAAAGTCCAGAATTTCAGAATCAATCATTCTATCATTTTCAGAGGAGTCCTGGTCCCAAAGAGAGAGGGGATGTTGTGGGGGGTGTTATGGGGGGAGCATTGTACATGTTTTTGTAGAGGAAACCAGAGCACCCAGAGAACGTGCAAACTCAACAAGAAAGGTCTGGAGGTGGAATCGAATGATAGAGTTATTATTCTATTAAGGTATTAAACTTTTCATAAAATGTTAAAATGCATTTGGACATGGGGCAATACTTACTTGTACTTGCTGGACGGGTTTTCTTATATGCGTTTTGATTAAACAATTTAAGCTATCAGATTCTTACTTCTTTGATTCTTTCTTCTCCCATTTGAGTGTTAAATTCAGATTGTGTGACAATTTCTCCGACTAGAAAATAATAAGTATAACCATGACTTTCAGTATTCCTCTGAGTTTTCGTACCTCGTCGGCGTCCGTGGTCTCAGCCGTGGGGCCGTTGTGCGCCTCCTGGAGAAGGAGCTTCTTCATTTTGCGATACTGCAGGTTGTCCAGCTCCCGCACCGCGTCCTTGGTTCTCTGGATCAGATCCATCAGCACCGAGTCTGGACGCTCCCGCTGTAGAAACGCATGCTGAGGGAACAGAGAACAGAGGCTTGTGAAATGTCATTCCCAAATCTTTTTCTTTCCTTTTTTCTGTTGTTGATTTTATTGTTTTCTATCTATTTTTCAGGATTTAACAAAATGATTCAGGGAAAAAACGGTGGTGCAGGATTACACGCACACACTGAGATATACGTTCAGGCAAAGGTAAAAGGTAAAGGTGCACTTTATTAAACCCTGTAGAGCAATTCATCCTCTACATTTGACCCATCCTGATGCCGCTAAGGCTTACTTTGGGAGCAGTGGTCGCCATAGTAACAGCGCCTGGGAATCCATCTCCAGATGTTGATGCTCAGCTTGGTCAGGACTACCAGAGCTGGAGGATTTTACCTAGTGTGCGTGTTTTAATTGGTAGGGGAAACCGGAGCACCCGGAGGAAACCTACACAGGCAACGGGAGAACATGCTAACTCCACTCAGAAAGATCCTGTTCCGACCGGGATTCAATTCAATGCCAGGACCTTCTTGTCTGAGAAGCGAGAGAACTAACCACTCATCCACCATGCCGCGTTAATAGTTCTAAACTTATGCCTTTTTTGTTTCATAATTATTCCTCTTCTGGAAGTTGTAGACTTTGTTGAACAGTAGTTTTTAGAAGACACAGATTCTCGTCTCTGCTGTAATCATAAAGTCCATCACTAACTTTGTTCCAAATGTTTCTCTGCAAATTCTGCAGAAAACAAACATTCTTCAGAGAGTGGATGGTTGGTCGACTGTTGTGGTGGCTGCTTGTTGTGTCTTGGACTGAGTCGGGGTCTGGGACTGGGCTGAGACAGGGTCTGGGACTGGCCTTACTGACTCTTACCCACATTGATCAATGCTACAGTTTTCAGTGGAGTGCTTAAACCAAATTGTGCATTAATAAAACTCGTAATTCTTCTCTGTTCATTAACTGAGAAAGAAAGTAAATTATATTCATGGGGTGAGAGTTTTTTTTGTTCCCACTCAATTTTGAGATGATAATATAAAATATATTGACACTGAATTTTTGTGACGATATCAATGCCTTATTTATGGCACTTTGAGTTGCCTTGTTTATGAGCTGTGCTATACAAATAAACTTGCCCTGCCACATAGTGAAACTTATAAATATTGCTTGAGTATATATAATATCCATGTATGTGTATGTACAGTAGGCATAAATATGAAGACTGTATGAATATAAATGTCTGATAGGATAAATGAATCTCATGTAAAAGAAATTGAGTCAGAATGTACTAAAATTAGGATAAAAACCACTCTTTTCAAACAATTATTACCTCATATTTTAACATATCATCTTTTGCAGTGTGATAAAGAAGCAAGTCTAAAATCTCCACTTTAGCCTGATACAAGAAGCAAGAATGAAGTATAAAATCAAGTATAAGCAAGAAGCAAGTATAAATGCTGTATATTCTAGTACAAAAAATATATAGTTAGTGAGTCATATTTACATGTGTACATGTGCCAGCCTGAGGGTATGAGACAAAGTGACTGAGTACAGTGACTAATCACATTCTGACATTATTCAAATGACTATTGCACAGATGAGTGAAGTAAAGTGATGTAACTTTGTAAACTATTTAGGCTTTTTGGAGCTGGGGCTTTTTGGAAATCGTTGCCAATAAAAATAAGTCTGAATTAAATCCATTTACAATCAGACCGAGGCACTGATTTGGATTTCTCTGGCCGCACAAATATTGAAAGACACCACAGCGCCTTCTGCTTTCCCCCTAAAGGGATTCTGTCCATTAGCAGCATCCACTAATGCTCTGCTAACAGCTGCCCAGATACTTAATGTGAGGCCGCCTCCTCTCCAGTGATTACAGTAACCAAATCTCCCAAAAACTAATGCTCTGTTGATGTTGAATCCAGAAAAAAAGGATTAGCGACTCAAAACAGAGGCTTAAACAGAGGACAAAAGGTGCCAATACATGTGGAGAGATTTTCCTTCTGATCGGACCGGGTTTGACAGCCGTACTTACCCCCAGCATGTCGTCGGAGTGAGGTCTGTCCTGGGGGATTTTCTGAAGGCAGGAGTCAATGAAGTTTCTGAAGTAGTCCGACCTGGATAATCGAATCAGAAAGAATTACTGGAGTGGTTGATCTGTGGGTATGTGTGTATATGTGTATGTGTATGTGTATGTGTATGTGTATGTGTATGTGTATGTGTATGTATATGTGTGTGTATGTGTATGTGTATGTATATGTGTGTGTGTGTATGTGTATGTGTATGTGTATGTGTATGTGTATGTGTATGTGTATGTATATGTGTGTGTGTGTATGTGTATGTGTATGTGTATGTGTGTGCGTGCGTGTGATACGAGTATACATTATGCTATGGAGAGTGAAGTTCTGGCCTTGCTATAGTAGTTTTTGTATAGCCCTAAATCACAACAGTATGTTATCTTGGAGGTTTTTAAAACTGTCGATTCGTCAACACAGATCAGAGAATTGAACAGTTTAAATGCAAGAAATACAATTATACTAAACACAGACATCGGTCCATAAGGGGCGGACAATCAAAGTCCATAAATGTTTATAAAGTCCATAATTGTTGTTTGAATGTTGAGTGTCCTGGATTAGAGCTGCAACTAACGATTATTTTAATAATCAATTAATCTGTCGATTATTTCTTCGATTAATCGATTAATCGGATAAAAAAAGCATTTTTAGTTTCCATCCCATTATTAAAAACATGGCTTGGATCAACACAAAGAAACATACAAATGTATGCTATGCAGTATAAAGTAAAGTGCATAAAAACAGGTTTTGGTGTTTATCCCAAAGAGCAATTACAGACAAGACACGTTTGTGTAATTAAGTCATTTTTAGGGTAATTGTACATTGTTGAGTCAACTCAAAAACGTTTGACATTTTTAGTTCAAAAGGCTGTAACTTAAAAGTGATAGGAGATAAAGACTTTCTGTAAATTACAGAATTATTAAGGATTGCCAAAAGTTTTATGTAGGGAATAAGTGTACCCATCTAATTAGCATATTATGACATCATATGGCGTTGGAAATTGTGGATTTTAGAATTTTCATAAAATGTGTCTCCCCTGCTCCCTCTCTCCTCTCCCCCGCTCTCTCTCTCCTCTCCCCTGCCCTCTCTCTCTCCTCTCCCCCGCTCTCTCTCTCCTCTCCCCCGCCCTCTCTCTCCTCTCCCCCGCCCTCTCTCTCCTCTCCCCCGCTCTCTCTCCTCTCCCCCGCTCTCTCTCCTCTCCCCCGCTCTCTCTCTCTTCTCCCCCGCCCTCTCTCCTCTCCCCCGCCCTCTCTCTCCTCTCCCCCGCTCTCTCTCCTCTCCCCCGCTCTCTCTCCTCTCCCCCGCCCTCTCTCTCCTCTCCCCCGCCCTCTCTCTCCTCTCCCCCGCTCTCTCTCTCCTCTCCCCCCCTCCCTCTCTCCTCTCTCCCCGCTCTCTCTCTCTCTCCCCCCGCTCTCTCTCTCTTCTCCCCTGCCCTCTCTCTCCTCTCCCCCGCCCTATCTCTCCTCTCCCCCGCTCTCTCTCTCTTCTCCCCTGCCCTCTCTCTCCTCTCCCCCGCCCTCTCTCTCCTCTCCCCCGCCCTCTCTCTCCTCTCCCCTGCCCTCTCTCTCCTCTCCCCTGCTCCCTCTCTCTCTCCTCTCCCCTGCCCTCTCTCTCTCTCCTCTCCCCTGCCCTCTCTCTCTTCTCCCCCGCCCTCTCTCTCCTCTCCCCCGCCCTCTCTCTCCTCTCCCCCGCTCTCTCTCTCCTCTCCCCCGCTCTCTCTCTCCTCTCCCCTGCCCTCTCTCTCTCCTCTCCCCCGCTCTCTCTCTCCTCTCCCCCGCCCTCTCTCTCCTCTCCCCCGCTCTCTCTCTCCTCTCCCCTGCCCTCTCTCTCCTCTCCCCTGCCCTCTCTCTCTCCTCTCCCCCGCTCTCTCTCTCCTCTCCCCTGCTCTCTCTCTCTCCTCTCCCCCGCTCTCTCTCTCCTCTCCGCCGCTCTCTCTCTCCTCTCCCCCGCCCTCTCTCTCCTCTCCCCTGCCCTCTCTCTCTCCTCTCCCCCGCTCTCTCTCTCCTCTCCCCTGCCCTCTCTCTCTCCTCTCCCCCGCTCTCTCTCTCCTCTCCCCCGCCCTCTCTCTCCTCTCCCCTGCCCTCTCTCTCTCCTCTCCCCCGCCCTCTCTCTCCTCTCCCCCGCCCTCTCTCTCCTCTCCCCCGCCCTCTCTCTCCTCTCCCCCGCTCTCTCTCTCCTCTCCCCTGCTCCCTCTCCTCTCCCCCGCCCTCTCTCTCCTCTCCCCTGCCCTCTCTCTCCTCTCCCCTGCTCCCTCTCTCTCTCCTCTCCCCTGCCCTCTCTCTCTTCTCCCCCGCCCTCTCTCTCTTCTCCCCCGCCCTCTCTCTCTTCTCCCCCGCCCTCTCTCTCCTCTCCCCCGCCCTCTCTCTCCTCTCCCCCGCTCTCTCTCTCCTCTCCCCCGCCCTCTCTCTCCTCTCCCCTGCCCTCTCTCTCTCCTCTCCCCCGCTCCCTCTCTCCTCTCCCCCGCCCTCTCTCTCCTCTCCCCTGCCCTCTCTCCTCTCCCCTGCCCTCTCTCCTCTCCCCTGCCCTCTCTCTCTCTCCTCTCCCCTGCCCTCTCTCTCTCTTCTCCCCTGCCCTCTCTCTCCTCTCCCCTGCCCTCTCTCCTCTCCCCTGCCCTCTCTCTCCTCTCCCCTGCCCTCTCTCTCTCCTCTCCCCTGCCCTCTCTCTCCTTTCCCCTGCCCTCTCTCTCTCCTCTCCCCTGCCCTCTCTCTCTCCTCTCCCCTGCCCTCTCTCTCTCCTCTCCCCTGCCCTCTCTCTCCTCTCCCCCGCCCTCTCTCCTCTCCCCTGCCCTCTCTCCTCTCCCCTGCCCTCTCTCCTCTCCCCTGCCTTCTCTCTCTCTCCTCTCCCCTGCCCTCTCTCTCCTTTCCCCTGCCCTCTCTCTCTCCTCTCCCCTGCCCTCTCTCTCTCTTCTCCCCTGCCCTCTCTCTCCTCTCCCCCGCCCTCTCTCCTCTCCCCTGCCCTCTCTCCTCTCCCCTGCCCTCTCTCCTCTCCCCTGCCCTCTCTCCTCTCCCCTGCCCTCTCTCCTCTCCCCTGCCCTCTCTCCTCTCCCCTGCCTTCTCTCTCTCTCCTCTCCCCTGCCCTCTCTCTCTCTTCTCCCCTGCCCTCTCTCTCTCTTCTCCCCTGCCCTCTCTCTCCTCTCCCCTGCCCTCTCTCCTCTCCCCTGCCCTCTCTCTCCTCTCCCCTGCCCTCTCTCTCTCTTCTCCCCTGCCCTCTCTCCTCTCCCCTGCCCTCTCTCCTCTCCCCTGCCCTCTCTCTCCTCTCCCCTGCCCTCTCTCTCTCTCTTCTCCCTGCCCTCTCTCTCTCTTCTCCCCCGCCCTCTCTCTCCTCTCCCCTGCCCTCTTTCTCTCTCCTCTCCCCTGCCCTCTCTCTCTCTCCTCTCCCCTGCCCTCTCTCTCTCCTCTCCCCTGCCCTCTCTCCTCTCCCCTGCCCTCTCTCCTCTCCCCTGCCCTCTCTCTCCTCTCCCCCCCTGCCCTCTCTCTCTCTCCCCTGCCCTCTCTCTCTTCTCCCCTGCCCTCTCTCTCCTCTCCCCCGCCCTCTCTCTCTCCTCTCCCCTGCCCTCTCTCCTCTCCCCTGCCCTCTCTCTCTCTCCTCTCCCCTGCCCTCTCTCTCTTCTCCCCTGCCCTCTCTCTCCTCTCCCCTGCCCTCTCTCTCCTCTCCCCTGCCCTCTCTCTCCTCTCCCCTGCCCTCTCTCTCCTCTCCCCTGCCCTCTCTCTCTCCTCTCCCCTGCCCTCTCTCTCTCCTCTCCCCTGCCCTCTCTCTCCTCTCCCCTGCCCTCTCTCCTCTCCCCTGCCCTCTCTCTCTCTCCTCTCCCCTGCCCTCTCTCTCTCTTCTCCCCTGCCCTCTCTCTCCTCTCCCCTGCCCTCTCTCTCTCTCTTCTCCCCTGCCCTCTCTCTCCTCTCCCCTGCCCTCTCTCTCTCCTCTCCCCTGCCCTCTCTCTCTCTTCTCCCCTGCCCTCTCTCTCCTCTCCCCTGCCCTCTCTCCTCTCCCCTGCCCTCTCTCTCCCCTGCCCTCTCTCTCCCCTGCCCTCTCTCTCTCCTCTCCCCTGCCCTCTCTCTCTCCTCTCCCCTGCCCTCTCTCTCGCCTCTCCCCCGCCCTCTCTCTCTCCTCTCCCCCGCCCTCTCTCTCTCCTCTCCCCCGCCCTCTCTCTCTCCTCTCCCCTGCCCTCTCTCTCTCCTCTCCCCTGCCCTCTCTCTCTCCTCTCCCCTGCCCTCTCTCTCTCCTCTCCCCTGCCCTCTCTCTCTCCTCTCCCCTGCCCTCTCTCTCTCCTCTCCCCTGCCCTCTCTCTCTCCTCTCCCCTGCCCTCTCTCTCTCCTCTCCCCCCTCTCTCTTTTCCCCTGCCCTCTCTCTCTCCTCTCCCCTGCCCTCTCTCTCTCCTCTCCCCTGCCCTCTCTCTCTCCTCTCCCCTGCCCTCTCTCCTCTCCCCTGCCCTCTCTCTCCTCTCCCCTGCCCTCTCTCTCCCCTGCCCTCTCTCTCTCCTCTCCCCTGCCCTCTCTCTCTCCTCTCCCCTGCCCTCTCTCTCCCCTGCCCTCTCTCTCTCCTCTCCCCCGCCCTCTCTCTCTCCTCTCCCCCGCCCTCTCTCTCTCCTCTCCCCTGCCCTCTCTCTCTCCTCTCCCCTGCCCTCTCTCTCTCCTCTCCCCTGCCCTCTCTCTCTCCTCTCCCCTGCCCTCTCTCTCTTTTCCCCTGCCCTCTCTCTCATCTCCCCCGCTCTCTCTCTCCTCTCCCCTGCCCTCTCTCTCGTCAAACACCAGACAAAGGCTTCTCCAACACGTTACTGTCCCGGTGAAGGCGGGAGGCACGATAATACATCTGTGGGAGGCATTATTTGCGGAGATTTTACCGGAGACTAGCAGAGGCTGGAGTCGCGGCCCGACGTGACTTCCAGGCTTGTTCTCCGCAAATCTGACCTGTCTCCAAACCTCCCAATGACAGCCCTGACCCTGAGAAACACTGTTCCCACTGACTCTGTGCAAAGTGTCTAAAGTTAGTGTGGTACAACACTCGCAGGCTTCCTTCGCTTCACTATTCTGCACTGGTTCAACGAGGTCTTGCTAGAATTATTGCCTCCACCATAGACTGTATTAAAAATGACCACCTTCGCCACACTCTGCTCTTCTTCTGTGGAGTTTTACGGCAGTGTGCATGCAGTGTTGTGTAGTTCTGTGGCGCATGTGCGTCCGTCCCATGGATCTATTATAATAACTGGATAGGGTATTACTAGCTTGTAGCTGAATAACTCATGTGCTCGGGTGATTCTCGCGGTACTGCAGACTGAATCAGACTAAATTCACGTGGGCTACCCAGAAATTTTCCCCATAGAACTCAATGCATATTAAAACAGCTCGACCTCAGCTGACAGAGAACCTACAGCTTTCATAAAGGTCGGATTTTGTGGGGATTTTAGTGTCCCTTGTCATCCTGAACTTTCTTTCTTCTTAAATCCTTCGGTTTTGTTTAAATCCACACTTTAGTGCCACAAACTCTGCTCGTCTGGCTCTCGCTCTAACTCCAGCTCTGATGAACTGCTCTGATTGGTCAGAGCGCGGACGAGCCCCTCTGTGCACGTGCGTGAGACCCGGTGTGAGACCCACACACGCGTGTTTAGCGCTACGCATTATGGGAGTTCATCCACTGCGCAGAACCGGGAGGACCAGACGATGCCCAAATACAGGCAAGTTTCCCATAGATCTTTGCGAGTTCCAGGCGACTTCCGCTAATCTTTTCAGCCCCCATGCCGTCACAAAGCGCCACTGAGCACAACCATTCATTTGAATAGGGCGCCATCTTGGATTGCCGGGGCTTGGTCCGTCCACTCAACCATAGAACTACAGGAATGCGCCCAACTCGCGCGCTCGGTGACGTATTAATCGCACGACACAACGAATCGATAACCAAATTTGTTGCCAACGCTTTTAATATTCGATTTTTATCGATATTATCGATTCGTTGTTGCAGCCCTAGTACAATTACAATTGCGGGCATTTGTCTCCCACTCCACACAGAAATGGGAGCGGGGCCAGTACAGGATGCCAGACCTATGGGCTTTATGCACGGGGAGGCGTGACGTCATTTCCTGTTAACGCAGAACAGCCCGTTCACTTCCTGCCTATGCTATTCTATGGCTTTTAGGTGAGTTTTAGTGATGTTTTTTAGTAATTAGATTGATACTGAGCTGTGAGACTGACCCAAAAGTGTCGCTGTGCTTTCTCTCAGAGGTAGAGCTTTGACTGTGGCCACTCAGAGCGATTTTTAAACTTTATAAAAACACAATGACAGCACAATCAAAGAGCACTGTTGTGTCCCAAAAATGCCCAGTATCCTCACAGTTTAATTCCTGTTTGAGCATTATTTGGGAAACTCGTGTAAACCACTGCTGAACTCCAGTGAAACCCAAGCTGTTCCCCGCGAACAGGAAGTGAGGTGGGGTTGTAGCTAAAACCCGGAAGTGGTGCGTGCATAGAGCCTATAGTACACGTTTTTAGTGGTAGGAGAAACCGGAGCACCCGGAGGAAACCTAGGCAGACACGGGGAGAACATGCAAACGCCACTCAGAAAGGCCCTATTCCGACCGGGATTTGAACCCAGGACCTGAGAAGCGAGAGTGCTATCCACTCAGCCACTGTACCGCAGCACTTCAATGTAATTTATACTCTATAATGCCGGCCAATGATCTTTTCTGAATCTGTGCTACATGGATGATTTGGCAGTGTTTGGCAATGAGATCTCTCTGCCATTTTTGTTCAAAAAAGTTTCAGACCCCATAGCTAGAGGGCCCAACTACATACAGGGCAGAAAGAAGCACGTTTTGCCTTCTTGAATTGTGATGTATCGGACACACAGGTGATAAACATGGAGGTGACCACAGCGCCCCCTACAGCTTTTTCACCTTCTGCTCTGTCCAAAACGACTTCCTGGGGCCTGGAGACAATAAATTTAACCTTTAACATGTTTGCACACTTCCTGTCTGTCTGCACAATCTGAGTGATAAATTTGCCAAATGTGACATGTACATTTCTCCGTTGTAAAATCAATAAAGTGTATCTTATCTTATATCCACTCACCATTCGCTGGACTGCAGTGTGGGGCTCTCATTCTGCGCTATATGGTATAAGGCACTCATAGCGTTCATGTTAAACAGGGGAGGTTTTCGTTCAGCTGGAGAGAAACAGAAGAGATGAAAGTTTTTACCACTTGTTTTTAAACATGTATAACCCTAAACCCGAACCTTGTGGTACGTACCCAACTCTATACAGGTGATCCCCAGTGACCAGACGTCCACCTTGCCGTCGTACTGCCCTTCGTCCATGGCTAAAATCACTTCTGGGGCCATCCTGGAATAACCCCATTGTAAGAAATATCGATGAGAAATTAGTCCAGCATCCAACATGTGATGAGAAGTTGTGTGGTCCTCCATTTTATTTTATGCTTATTTGTGTATATAGCCAATTGTTTTTATTTCATTGTAATTGCTGTTATTTAAGGCTGGGAGACATATTTTAATGTGTTACTTTTATCTGTGCAGAAAATATTAAAGCAAATGTAAACATTCTTTGTATTTCTGTGGTTGCAATGAATTATAATAATGAAGTGCTTTTTTGGTCAAAAACGACTATAAATGGGTATGAATGGAGGCCTTCATACCCATTTTTAGTCATTTTTGAGTTATTTTTCATCACTTTTTGCAGCGTAGACCTCATGTACTTTTGCATCTTGTCTCCACGTGCCTGAAATTGTCATAATTGTCAGAAATAAACAAACAAACAATGAGAAAACACAATCTATATCTTTTTTTTTATTAGGCAAAATAAAACTCAAACTATTTTACTGCTGTTGATATGATTCTGCAGTGAGGTTTGGTAAGTAAGTAGTAAGTAAGTAAGTTTTTATTTATATACCACCTTTTCACTGCAGATCTGAGTCTCAAAGTGGTTTACAATTGTTAATTTTTGGGCATTTGTCTCTCACTCCACACAGAGATGGGAGCGGGGTCGCCAGTACAGGAAGCGCATGCCAGAACTATTGGACATATTTTTAGTGGTAGGGGAAACCGGAGTACCCGGAGGAAACCTACGCAGACACGGGGAGAACATGCAAACTCCACTCAGAAAGGCCCTGGTCCGACCGGGATTCGAACCCAGGACCTTCTTGCTGAGAGGCGAGATTGCTATCCACTCAGCCACCGTGCCGCCCAAGTGTCATTTCCAAGTTTCTGGACTGAAGTTACACTTCAAACCATAGACTGTATATATTAACGGACGTAGTCTCGCCTATCTCCGCCGTTCTAACTAATGGGCCAAAAAATGTGCTCTACTGGAGCTATCCAAAAAGGCTGCGAGTGGTCCCGCCCACAAGAATATTGTGAAAAAACGCATCTGCGCATGCGCCAGCCGGCGCAACTCCATTCATTTGAACGAGAGACCAGAGTGGTCCAAAAAATCCACCCCCCTCAGCATTGACACACATGTGGAACGGAGCTTTGGGCCAAGAGCCAACTTTTGGACCATCCTGTAAAGGTGTTTGAGAGGTCTGCCAATGCTATATGTTAGCATTGGCTAATTCTTATTCCGGGTCCACCCCCACCGGCTCGAACCTTCATTCTCTCCATTTACACTTTGAAATACTTTGAATTTCTTTACTTTTGAGTTGTTATAAGAAAATTAAAATTCAGCCACTTCATACTGCCTAATGTGTTTTATGGTTTCAATAATCTTCCAAACCGAGTCTCTAGAACCTTCATTAAAGTAGTTCTCACCCCCGCTCCTCGGAGCTTACGTCACTCACATTTCCTGTTCATATCTTCCTCTAAATGGGCGTAGCCTGGAGGACTAAAGGGGGCGTGAACGAGACTGGGCCGTTTACATTGCTCTGGGCGGGGGGCTGCAGACGTCAGGTCCAACTTCTGTGCCAGTGTTGGCGTCAGATTCAAAATTCAAATGTAGTAATACAGGTCGCCAGCAGATGGCGCCTCACAGACGGTTTTAGGCAGAAAGTCTAACTTTCAACTAATTTGCACCAAAGTGACAAGATTATGACCAGGATATGTAGACAACACTATTGGACACTCATTTATACCGTTTATCAGCAAAAAAAAGTGGATTTGAGGGTGAGTTGTCCTTTAAAGATGTAAAATGTACTGGAAAAGAACATTACTCATTCATATCCCCAAGAAGGTAAAAGAAGAAAAGACAGGGCTGTTACTGATGAACTTTAACTGAGAAGGCGTTCAATAATGACCTTTTTTAGTGCCTTAGTTTTGAAATGTTTTTGTAATTCCCGAGAAGCCATTTGCAGTTTCCAGGTCACTGCATTTTTGTGGTCCAAGAGTGTGTGTGTGTCCAATATCATATAGCTGTCTGTTTTCTGTTTTTTCTTCTTCAATTTTACTGTTTGGTATTGTGTTGAATGGATGATGGGGGTTTTGACACACAGACGCACACGCTTTTGTGACTTCAAATGTAACTTTTCTATATTTTCTTTACCAAATTCCACTACATCAAAACACCAAAATCACAAATAGTTAATGGCCCACGGCTCCTATTGCTGCCGAGAAACCACTGCAGCATAAATCCTTTACACATCATTTGAATGACAGCTGCAGCTTTTCACTTTGGCGATATGCAAACGGACACTTTCCATACTTTCCAGGATTAAACGCGGCTCCTTCTGTTCGCGCTGAGGTCGGTGGGTTCGGCTTAAAACATTTCCCCGGAGAAAACCCACGTGCTTCTATGCCGCTCTTACCAATATGGCGTCCCCACAAAGGAGTTGGCAGGTGAGGCGATGGAGGCGGAGCCAAAGTCTGCCAGTTTGACCAGCCCCGGTTCTGTCAGCAGGACGTTGCCAGCCTTCACATCTCTGAGGAGAAGGTTTTGGGTTCAGAAATGAAGATATTATACGATGGTGGAAGTGATAAAAGAAGAAGAAGAAGAAAAAGGGGCCTGACCTGTGGATCATGTTGTGGGAATGAAGGTAGGCGAGGCCCTGCAGAGCGCCGTGAGTTATGGCCGCAATTTCTACTTCCTGCAGCGGCTTTTTATGAACTGCAAGAAGTTCATAATGTTCAGAGACAAAAAATTACTTTTCACAGATTGTGACCACGTTTTGGCATTTCCACTTCAGTTTTGGGCTGTAACAAGCTCATCGACACTTTTTGGCTATTGAAATATAATTTTATAGATTTTTTAAGATAATAAAATGTGTTTTTTAAAAGGATTGTCTTAAGTTGTCTTGTGTTTGTGTAGCGTTTGTTCTGTTTGGAGTTGTGCTTTTGTGTTTTTGTTTTATGTTATGTTATTTTTGTGTTCTTTTTGTGTTGATGCATTTGTCTGTTTTGTTCTTTCATAGAAATGAAAATAATAAAAGATTATCTGTTATTTGTCCCAGAGTTATTATATTTACACATAAAAAATAAACTAAACAAAAAAACATGAAAAAAATAGAAAAAAATAATATTAAAAATAATAATTATTATTATTATTATAAAAATAAAAAATAACACTTGTCAGCAGGAGGTAATTACAGATTATATTATATTGTACTTTCGCAGCAGAGAATATAACCAGAATAAACAATAGTAATAATAGCAGCAAAGTGACTATGAAATGACAAAAATATCAAATCTTACACAGACTTGCTGCTGGGAAGTGGTTTTAAGACTCAGAGAAAGCTATAATAACAACAATACTGATGGGTTGTATATAGCACTGTAGACATGGTCGCCCTGGGGCAGACGACCTGTATGGAAGTCTTTCTTACCTTCTAACAGATCTGAGGCCGAGCCGAGGCAGTACTCCATGGCGAGCTGCAGACAAACACAAAGGAGGGGATAAAAGTTGTGTGTGATTTGATAAAAGTTGTGTGGAGACGGAGATGGTTGTGATGCCGTACCCATGCGGTGTGTTCTCGCAGGTAGCAGCCTTTGTACTCGATGCTGTTCGGATGACGGATCTTCTGCAAGAACTTCACCTCCTTTATGATGTCCTGCCATTTCTGTGGACACACAACACGCACACATAACCACACACACACACAGACACACACACACATACACACAGACAGACAGACAACGCAGACACACACACATACACACAAAGACACGCAGCCATAAAACACAGCCGCACATACACAGACACAATAAGCACACACACACATGAATGCACACACACACACAAGCACAGAGAAAACGCACACCACACGCACGCACAACACACACAGACACAACCAGTGCAGACACACAACACAAGCACACATATGCAGACACACCCACAACACGCACGCACACACACGCAGACACACACGCAGGCAGCATGTGATTAGGAAATGAAGGGTTGTCGAGGGTCAATGAGATTAAAACACACATAAAACACACACAGACTAAATATAAAACAGTTGTTGCTTCGATGACGTGACTCTCACCTCATTGGACTGTTTCCCGCTGTAAGACATTTTCTTGATGGCCACCACCTCGTTGGTGCGCACATCTCGTGCCTGAAAAGTGGAAAGGCAACAATTTTTTACAAATTATTATTAATACAAATCTGGATCAACTGGATTTGTTAAGAAGAAAGGATTTTAGATGGATTTTTTGAGTTTGTATATTTTTAATGGAGCTTAGAGACTTTGCCGTCCCATCTTTTTTTTAGGCCCGAGCCCCGGGCGGGGTAAGGGCCTATTGCTTTCACAATGGTGAAGGCAAGAGATTGCGGTGCGTGACGGACGCGTCAGCACCCGTCACTCACCAAAACATGACCAAAACGTGTGCTTAAACTCAAACGCTAAAATGATGTATTATGTGCCATTGAAATCTATATTGCTTTTGCTCAGAGACTTTCGAAAAACGTTGGTTTTGGCGCTACAGTTTGTAAACCATTGTTTGAAACTTGAAAAGTGCAAAACTTAATGCCGCAATCTCCAAAATATACGCTGTAAAAAAACAAAAACGAAAAAGTGCTGTTGTTAAACCATGATATAGCGAAGGACCACTGTACACTTTATGTCAAATAATTTAAGGCATCTGGCTCCATTACATTTCATATTATTGTGATTTTGAGGCTGCTGTGTATTTGCAGATTAAAAAGGCAAACAGTAAAACGTTAAAACCCGTACAAAGTAAACGGCGCCGAAGCTGCCATGGCCGATCTCCCGGAGGTCAGAGAAGAGCTTCTCTGGGTCTTCTTTAAAGAACAGGTCTGCCACCTCAGGGTCCTTCAGACTTCCTGCCCTGACAGAGGAGGGCATTGTGGGTAATGTAGTCCCTTCGCCCACTCAGAGTGGACGGGACTATCTGGGAGCAGAGAATCGCCAAAGCAGCTGATGACTCATCTGCAGAAACGTGTGGGGCGTCGAAACCACCTCATCAGAGCCTGCAACACACACAATAAAACTGTTAGTGATGTTTGATCTAAAAGCTTACAGTGGCAAAAGAATTAGCCTTTAGTAATTATAATAATAATAATAAATCTTTTGTTTGTATAGCACCGTTTACAAAGCACTGCACAGTCAGCATAAAGCTATAAAAACAGTCAATAAAACATCATAATAATATAAGTGTCTCGTAGCACCAGTCCCTCGCTGATCCTCCTGCAGGTGGTGGGTCCATGGAACAGCAGCTCCTCGTGCCATTTTGTAACATTCTAGATACCGGTATAAAAATAAACTCTGGTAAATAAAGAGTTTGAAGTATTGAAATCATGAACTTATGTCATGGTAAAATAATTTTTGTTAATCAAATATGCACTGAATCTAAAGTATTAATTCCCTGACAAAAATGGCACAAGTACTGGAAAAACAAATCTGTACCGTGGCTGAGTGAGTTCAATTAAATCTAATTTCTTTGTGAGAATGTATGTAAAAGTTCTGCATCTGTCTTTTGTTTTACAGCAACCTGCTCAGGAGCAACCTGCCTAAAAGCAAAAAATAATTCCAGGAAAAACATGAAAGAATTAGCTTTAAAGCAAGACTACCTGACTTTATTTTTGTATTCATTTGGAAAATTCACTCCATATCCATGCAGTGCATTGGGAAATACGTCCTTTTGAAGAGAAAGTAGTGCACGTTTGTATTGGAGTGTCATTTTATTTTGAGTTTTCATGCAACGCGGAAGAGAATTTATTTCAAGACCAGATTGTGACCAATCACAGCGGATCACTGGCCCCCACTTTCTTGAGAGAATCTACAGGTCTCTGGTTAGCACAGACAGCTGAGGTACGAGCATCATGGCAAAGGGGAGCGGAGCAAATAGAACGAGGCCCGCGATCACTTTTGAAACGGCTGCTTCAAAGTCACAAAGTGAGTTAGTCCAGCTTTAAGTCAAAAAGTAAATTTGTTCAATCCAATGTATAGATTTGAGACATTTTAACAACATTGTAATGCTGTTAAAATGATTCACACTGGCATATTACAATAAGCAAACCTTGTAGAACTCATGCCACATAGTTATCTGAACTTAGAAGCATGGCTAATTCCTTTTTCATGTCATGTATTCATTTGAAACCCAAGTAGTAAGTAACATTAGGGGTGGAAACCTAAGGGTACCTCACGATACGATACAAAGCTCACGATAACGATATCACAATATGACGATTATCGATATATTGGTCAATATACAATATGCCAATTCATGGTATAAATAAAAGAAAAAATACACCATTTCATGATAAATGGAATGGAGATGTGTAATGTAGCCATATATTAAGTATTGATACCAATTTTTTATAAAAAAAATTGTAAAACAATATATATATATATATATATATATATCGATATCGATACTTGGCAAATGCATATCAATAATTGAATCGCGGGAGAAAGTATCGCTATATCGATATATCGTCACACCCCTATGTAACATGTACAGCATTTGTCTCTTCATTTGTCTCACACCTGATTTTCAAACTCATATATATATATATATATATATATATATTTATATTAGATTCTAATATATAAATAAGTAACAATCTTGACTATTTTATGCAAGAACCTGCTAGACCTATATTGAAATTCACACACCAAATTATACCGCAATATGAATTTTAGGCCATATCGCCCACCCCTAAGCCCAAGTAACAGCCATTTTTTAAATATAAGGAGTAAAAAGTTCAAAAGTCAGATGCAACAGTAGAAAGTTGTCAGATAAAAAGTAGTAAAGTACAAATACCAGGAAAACCGGGAAACAAAGCATCCTTTGATGTAATATTAAAGTAGTTTAACTGCAGTGCACACAACTACAGAAGAAAATGTATACATCAACAAGCGATTATTATTCATAAAGTCATTCACCCATGCAAAAATGCAAAAAAGATTTAAAGATTTTTTTCTTATATGCAACTGTGCCACATCATTTTAACAAACCCCTCAGAAAACCTATAAGCAATAAACGCTGACTTCGTAGAGAGAAATGTTGACTCGGCATAAAAGTCACACCAATTACTGCAGAGGTGTCCGCACCAGAGGCCTCCCCCAGAGAATCAATACGATGAAAAGGTAATGAGCAATATAAACAGGTTGTGGACAGTTACCCGAGATACAGAAGGCTTTTCATGGCAGAATAACCTCCTGCTCCAACACCATTGCGCAACACTGTTAAATTTGTATTGGCTTTTGTTGAATTTATCAGTGAGTGTTTGTGTTACGAGGTCCTGGAAGTCACAAGATGCAGAGTTTGATCCTCAAGAACAACAAGAGGTGATGTTTGGAGAAAATAAGAGAAGTTATTCAATTGGAAATAATCTCAGAAGAACTATTGTATAACACCATAGACTGTAAAATATTAACGGACGTAGTGACGCCTCTTGCCTCGGTTAAAATGTATGTGCCACAGACATGGGCAAATTCAAAATGGCCGCAGGTAGCTGCTCCCAGAGGAAAATGTGAAAAAAAAAAACGTATTTGCGCATGCGTTAGCTGGGACTAGCCTCATTCATTTAACTAGTGCAGCCATTCCCAAACTCAGTAACACCGAGGCCCCCTTAAAAATCTGACGGGTCTGCGTGGCCCCCCAAAATAATAACCAAGAAGACAACATTAAGAATAGGCTCTTCTGGTTATTTTATTTTGGGGAAATAGCCTCTGCTACAAACATTGTAATACAAAAATGATTACAGTGGATTATTCAAGTCAAATAATGAACACAAATATTTTAATATTACAAACAAAACATTATAAATTTAACATTAAATAATTATATTTTTTTTTTTTTTTTTTATGACCTCCCGCGGCCCCCCTGCAGTACCCTCGCGGCCCCCTGGTGGGCCGCGGACCCCACTTTGGGAGACACTGAACTAGTGCATTCAAAAATCCACAGCGGCAAAACAAGAAAAATAAAACTCATTGACACGTTGAGCCAAGAGCTGACTTTGGGACCATCTTGTAAAGCAGTTTGAGAGGATTAAAGAGGTCATTAGAATTCAATGGATATTTCTGTTTCCGGGTACACCCCCACCGGCAAGGAGTGAGATGGCAAGCATGTCAACTGGGATTGTCCTTCTTATAAATGGGGTCCAACATTGCAAAAACAAAACATTGGGATCAACAACATGTGGAAAGCATTTGCCACTGCCACCTCTGTCCTGTGGGGGCGCTGTGCAGAGTACTGCCACGAAGTGAGGAAGACTGAAACGGCTCTCACTCAAGAAGTTTTTATCGTTTTATCGGCTTTTGCAGCAGGACTATAGCACAGTTTATATTTGAATGAATGTGTTTGTATCTGGGGTTGCTTGGGGAAAAGACCGTTGGGGGGATTGGTTGTCAATGCAAAAATTTCAATCCAAATTTTCAGGCTGTTCAAAATCATTCACACAAATACAGCCGCATGGCTATTACCCTCCACAATTATAACTAACACTTAACTTATATTGTATAATTTTCCATTTCAAATTAGACTTAAAATGCACTTAAAAGGCGTTAAAATTGGTTTAAAACAATTTTCTGGTCGTGTCAACAATCTTTGTGAGCTCTGACTTGACATTCAAGCAGATCAATCTTAAGTGCCCGAGTCAAAAGTCAGACACTTATTTATTTATGGTTTTATTTTGTTGGAACAGTTTATGTTGATGACCACACCTCTCCAGATTGTAGCCATAGAATTTGCATCCATCGTCCCACAGTCACACTCACAAACACACATTAATTCATCGTGGACTATTGAACATGTTTTAGTGGTAGGAGCACTTGGAGGAAACCTGCACAAACACAGGAAAAACTAGCCTGGTCGTACCACACCATAGTACGAATTGCATTTTGTACTAAGGTCTGGATGTGCTCCATTGAGCTCCGTTAACAGGTGGGAGAGGTTCACTCCTTTTGCAGATTGAAACGATTGGATCTTAGTTTACCGTCATGTATGTAATGCGCCCGAGTGAGTCGTTAGCATTTAGCCTAGCTTTAGCCTAGCTTTAGCCTAGCTTTAGCCTAGCTTTAGCCATCTCCTTTGCCGCTAACGGAGCCCGTGGGGAGTAGCGCCACAATCTTTGCCAGCAATTACATTTGCTAAACATTCCTCTTGCTCCGGCTTCAATTTCTTGATAGACCCAGACCAGAATACTTTACTATCGCAATCTAAAACCTGCCCGTTCGACGCAAACTCTTGACGTCACCCACAATTAACTACAACACCCCCCTCCCGCGCTCGCTGATCTGTCGGATGGAATTCAACCGATTGTAATCGCAAACACAGGGACCAGACCAACACGTTACAGGCAGAGAAATGATCATTGAGCGGAGTGTACGGATCGCTAAGGCCAGGCTAGGGGAAAACAAACTCCAAAAAGTGCAGATCTGTTAAGTCTATCGTGTGTATATCTTTTTAAAAACCATATACCAAGGCGAATTTCTAGTGTGCGACTTACGATTACTTACAAAGGCAACAACCATAATTCTGACTCTGATTCTAAAAAGACAGACAAATTGTTATGTAGTTGGGAAATCAAAAACAAGGTCATGCTTCAACAAAACAGAAATATGTGCCCCTTGGTCTGGTGTCATCATTACTGCTGTGCACTGATGCTCAAACGCAGCAGGTGACTCGACAGGTTCCTCCAGGTAAACAAAGCTGCTTCTAAATAGGTTAGCGGCGCTTCCTGCAAAACGACACCAGTCTTTGTTCAAATCACTGCATCGAGTTTACTCCGTCCCTAACCTTAAAAGTAGTCAAGTTTTCATGTGTTTTCAAATAGTAATGGAATTGACGAGATGCCTATAGTCAATAAAAAATAAGACCTTTTGGAGCGAACCGATAA